CTCTTACAAGAATCATTTCTGAAGACAGTTTGCTGGGCTGATCCTATAGCACTGTCCTGGAGCAGGGCTTTAAAGGGACACTGCCCAGGAGCTTTCACACCCAAATATTCACCTGATTAGTCCTGCTGTGAGATAGCATGAATGATAGAGACTTGATGATGATCTCAAAAGCAATCCAATGTATCAGCTGTGACCTACCCCCAAGACTGTTTCCTCTGCTGGTAGTTCCCATCCTTCCTTTAGGGTGGAAAACAGTCTCTCCAAAGTAGAATGAACTAAAATTAAATATTTCAGATTTTTATTCAAAGCCTGAATGTTTCATCCAAAACTAGAATAAAAGTGTCTTATTAATCACAGACAACACACTATCTTACATGGATGTTCATGGTTATTCAGCATTCCCAGTCAGATGACAGGATCCTAATGCATCCAGAAAGGACAATGGACATCTCCACACCCCTTGACCCTGGTATCTACAAAAGAGTGGGACTCGGACAGTCACCCTTATGAGCCCCTCCAAAGGCCTGCAGTGTTCAGGGCTACCATGCAAAAAATCAGCATTATCCTATATTTTAGTAATTGGGTCGCATCTTACAGGACACCAGAAGTCCTGGTTAGATTTTAAAATCACAGGCTTGATTCACCCTCCAGGCCCTGAGTTGTGTGCTGTCAAGTGAGCATACAACAACCTTCCCAAGGAAGAGCTGAAAGACCTATTTCCTGGAACACTTAAAACTAGGTTGGACACAATGCTAGAAGTATATTGTAGTGAACAGCCCTGCATTGGCAGGGAGATGGATTGGATGATCTAATGGTCTTTTCCATTTCTAACTTTATCATCCCATCCAACTTTAACTCCTTAACTCGTCTTCTTAACAACACGGCCTCTCATCTCCTCTCCACCCCCATTCCTTTCCACCCTTGCTTATTTCCTCCCTTTCTTTTATCCTCAAACTCTCATTGAGTTTCTCTCCTTCAGCCTTCAAGCACACTATCATATCCTCTATCCCACCTGACTCGCCAGCTAGTAGAGAGGAGAGACCCCAATACTAAAAAATGTAGCATAAAGGCCAATTGTGCACTGGCCAAGTGAGTGACTGGGGGGGCGATCCCATGGCCAAGCAGAGCTCACACTCAAGAAAGTTTTCCTGATATTCAGCCTAACATTTCCCTTCCTTAATTTCATTCCATTCTCCTTATTTATATCCCACTGTAACACAACATAATTCTCCATTCAGATGTAAACTATGACCATGTCATCCCAGAGCCATCACTTAGCCAAGCAATGCGTATTTAGCTCCTTTAATAATCTTCTCTTGTATATCAGTTACTCCAACCCTCTGATAATACCTGTTGCTTTTCTTTGACCGCCTTCTAATTTGTCAATATCTTTCTGATAATAAGGTGCCTAGAACTGAACTCTGTCTCTCAGTGCCTGGCACTATGTCCCAACTCCAATCATACCAGAGCTACATTGAGAGGGGATATTTCTTCTCTGCTCCTTGCTGTGATGCCTCTGTAAATGCAGCTTAGAATTGCATTGGCCTTGTTTGCTGTCGTGGTGCATTGCTAACTTAGCTCTAATTTGCTGTCCACTCTCATTGCTAGGTCTCTTACATCCTCCCAGGTTTCTCCAGTCCATTTTGTATATTTTCTTTGGATTGTTTTTCACCAGTGGTTCAGAATTCAATTTCATTTTTTGCACCTTGTTGAATCTGTTTTTAGTTATTGCCTCCTTGTGTTTCAGAGGTGCTCAGAGACTGTAGTGACTGAGCCCTGTAGAAATAACTATACATACAGTTGTCAAATTAAACCTTTTCCAAGTCCCTTTGTATTACTGGTCAGGTCCCAATAGTACTTTCAGTTCATCTTTCTATTGCATTCTTTTGCTGCTTACTCCCTCTTCTAGCTTTGGGAGCTAACACAGATCATCAGCAGAATCATCTTCCCAACTGCTGTTTCTCATCAGCGTTTGTTTCAGTCCTTCGGATAGTTTTCAAAGCACATGGCAGTTCTCTTAGCTAAACCAACTTGGATTAAATTGGGTCCAGATTATCGTGGCAGTACATAGATGAAGGTGTGGGGAAAAGGAGTCCCCCACTTTGCACAGCTGTGCAGGAGCCACACACAATAACAGTCCCAATGCTTCCTGCACTAAAGTCTTTGCAAAGAGAGGGAGAAAATGTCTCCCAAAAAAAAGGCAACTTTTTTCTGTGAGTTTTTTTTTTAGTCATCAAAATATGAAAAATTCAGCCAGTTCTATAGATGGTCAGATAACTGGGGGAGGTTCAAGAAAAAATCATCAATATTTTTTCCAATTTTTTCAATCTTTCAAAATGTTGATGTTTTTGCGCCAGCTCTGCCCTGTGCTACTGCTCACTCCTGCAGGATACAGAAATCAGGGTCAGGAAGAGGTTGGGATCTGGCCCCTCTTTCTGCCTCCCTCCCTCCCCAATAAGCCCGAGTGGGGCCAGTATGTTGGGTCCAATCTGCTTCATTCTAATGCATGCAGTTCATTGCACCTCCGACCTTCCATACATAAGAAGCAGCCCTGGAGAGAGTGTATTTCTCTGAGACATTATCATCCCTGTGCTCCTCTTAGGGCAGTTGGGCTCTGCATTGCCCCCTGCTCAGGGCTGGAACATTCATACCACAGTTTAGCCCTTTGAGAAGCACAGCATCAAATCCTTGACGAAAATCCAGATCTGATTTATCTACTGCTTTCTCTGCATCCACTATATTTATAATTTCATCATAAAAGCAATCAAGTTTGGCAAGATTTATTCTTTATAAACTCATAGACTTTAAGGTCAGACAGGACCATCGTGATCATCTAGTCTGACCTCCTGTACATTGCAGGCCACAGAACCTCAACCACTCACTCCTGAAATAGACCCACCAGCCAGACACCTGGGAAAGAATTCTTTGTAGTAACTCAGAGCCCTCCCCATCTAGTGTCCCATCACTGGCAGTTGGAGATATTTTGACTAGCAGTCACCCATCTGTAGGCAGTCTCATCATTACCATCTCCTCCATAAACTTATCAAGCTCAGTCTTGAAGCCAATTAGGTTTTTTTGCCCCCACTGCTCCCCTTGGGAGGCTGCTCCAGAACTTCACTCCTTTGATGGTTAGAAACCTTCATCTAATTTCAAGCTTAGGTCAGTAATAAAAATGTTAAATAAGATTGGTCACAAGACCGATCCCTAAGGAACTCCACTAGTAACCTCCCTCCAGCCTGTACAACCTTTCTGTATGACCTGTTGTAGTCACCCCTTTAACCAATTCTTGCACACAATTAAAGTCAAACTAATAGGCCTGTAGTTTCAATTAAGGCACACAATTAAGGTCAAGCTAACAGGCCTGTAGTTTCTTGGATCACGTTTTTTCCCTTTCTTAAAAATAGGAACTATATTAGCAATTCTTCAGTCATAGGGTATGACCCCCGAGTTTACAGATTCATTAAAAATCCTTGCTCTTAGGCTTGCAATTTCTTGTGCCAGTCCCTTTAATATTCTAGGATGGAGATTATCCAGGCCCTCCCCCGATTTAGTCCCATTAAGCTGTTTGAGTTTGACTTCCACCTCAGCTGTGGTAATTTCTACCTCCATATTCTTGTTCCCATTAGCCACCCTGCCACTACCCCTACACTCTTCACTAGCCTCATTAAAAACAGATGCAAACTATTTGTTTAGGTTTTGGGCCATATCTAGATTATCTTTAATCTCCACCCCATCCTCAATGTTTAGCAGTCCCACTTCTTTCCTTGTTTTCTTATTTATATGGCTATATAACCTTTTACTATTGGTTTTAATTCCCTTTGCAAGGTCCAATTCTGCTTGGCTTTATCCAGTTCTCACTTTATCCCTACACTTTCTGACCTCCAAGGGGGAAAGCAAAGTAGTCTGAAACATCATATGTCAGTGTGTCCCATAACAGTGTTACATGAAACTGAGTAGAAGAAGGTTGTAAGTGGCTGTCATGGGGAAGGATCAGCAAGGTAACCCATCTTCATTCCTTCTAGGCTCTCTGCTTTCTCTTAATCACCTGTTTGAGATCCTTGATCATCCAGCTTGGTCTGCAACTCTTCCCTACAAATCTATAAATCCATTCTGCTTCCGTCTGAAATTGTGAATAACTTCCTTGCTTCATTTATAGTGGATATTGTATTTGTTACCTTGAAGGTGATCTTGTCTTGTCTGTCACCAAGTAGGTGATCTTGTCTGCCTGAGATTTGGCTTTTCTAAAATTCATAGATTCATAAAATAATGCAAGAAGTGACCCTCCTGACCATTTAGTCTGACCTCCTGCATAACACAGACCAAAAAACCTTACCCAGTAATTCCTGTATCATGTCCATAATCTGTGGTTGAGTGTGATGGGGCGACTGCCCCACACTAGCCCATAAAGGGTTAAGAGAACCCTAGAGAGGCTGCGTGACAGGCCGTCAATTGTAGAGGACCCTAGGGAGGCTGTGCAGGAAACAACCAGTTGGAGACAGGCCGCCAGGAACAGTCAGTCAGGGCCAGGCAGGCCCATATAAGAAGAGCTGCAGCGCGGAGCAGGTCAGTCACTCCCTGGAGCTTGGGGAGGAAGGAGGACTGGCTGCCTTGCAGGCAGAGGGCAGCTAGCACCTTGGACAGAGTAGTGTTAAGTAGGATCAGGGGAGCAAGAGCGAGCTCCTGGCTGACTGCTGGCATGCTAAGGCCCTGAGACAAGGGTGGAGAAGGTGCTGGGGCTGTGGGGAAGTGGCCCAGGGAAGAAGACTGAGGGATTGGAGGGGATGCAGCATGTGGCTGCCATCTACACAGTCCTTGGGCCAGGACCTGGAGTAGTGGGCAGGCCTGAGTGCCCCCCTTGTCCCAATCGCCACTGAGGAAGTGGCTGGGCAGTGGACTGCTGTTCCCTCAGAAGGGGGGAGAACTGAGTGTGACCCAGCCGGAGGGCTGTGTCCTGAAGAGGACGCCGCAGTCCTTGGGGTGACACAGGTCCAGGAGCAGAGATGACGGTGGGCAAGACACCACCAGAAGAGGGTGCACTGGCTAGCAGAGCTGATCCCTGGGACATCCAGCAGGAGGCGCTGCAGTGGTGAGTCACACCCCGTCACATTGAGCTATAATGTATCTTTTACAGACACATTTACTGTTGATTTAAAGATGTCAATTGATGGAGAATCCCCTCAATCCTTAAGTAAATTATCACCGTGGTTAATTATCCTCGCCTGTTAAAATTTTCAGCTGTTCATCACATATTTTAACCTCTAATCCTTGTTTTTCTTCTCTGTATTTGCTCTAGTTTTTCTCTAATCCCATTACATGTGTGGGAACCAGATCTGCAAACAATGTTACACCTGCCCTGCGTCTGATCCTTTCCTCCATCGTTTTGCAGGTGATTCCCCCGCGCATACATTTGAGAAATGCTCGGTGTGGCACAACATGCTATGCTCATAATGATGACACTTTATATTCAAGTTCCATTTATAGTTTATGACAGGTTATTAAATTATTAATAGATGTTTTAATAACAGCTTAATCCATTGTTCCGCAGTCCAGCTGGTCAATAGGTTGCTTCTAACAATCTTTTACTATGTTTTACTGATGTACTTTTAGCTACCTACTACTCATGTGGGTAACATGGTTATAACATCTAGTTGTCTTTTATTAACCCTTTAAAATCATTTATAAATTAAACCTTAATATTAAGTGCAACCCTCATCACAGTATGTAATTTGCTATCTACTACAACCGTACGTTCTCTGGACTCACTTGTCAGTCTCCAGATACAAATTAGGGGGTAGCTGTCTGGATAGTCTTTTTTCCTGTACCAAAGTGTTGGACTTCACTAATAATAAACACTCACATTCACAGATGTCAGATCAGATTAAGGGTCCAGTATTTTCCTGGTTCTTCCTTGATTTCATTTTTGCTTCTTGTTGTCCTTTTTCCTCCCTCGGTTCATTTTTTCCCTAGATATTATTTAGTTCTTTAGTCCAGGGACTGCATCTTAGATTTGGTTGGATAGTTCCTGGCACAATGGGGTTCTCATTGAGACTTTGAGGGTGGAACCCTAATACAAACAATAGGTAAAAATAAGCATCCTTTATACTAACCCAACAGTATAACTGAGATCAGATTCTGACACAGTCTAAATTTGCCTCTCGTTTACACTTGTGCAACCCTTTTGACTTACTGGGGTCACATGCATAGGAATAACGAAGAGCGGGATTTGGCTTAATATATTTAGTACTTCCTAGAAGATGGAGGGAGAGGGTGGGACATAAAAGTAAATCGATAGAACTTATCCCAGGCAAAGAATTTACATGCATCCTCTTCAAGTGAGGAGCAAGTGCTGTTCAGTAGGGATCAAAGGTCAGGAGGCTTTTTTTAGAAGAGGTGATGCTGTCCCTTTAAAACAGGCTCGGAGGGAGCTTGTTCTGATCTCTGATTGGATGAGCTGAGGCCTGTCTTCAGAAATCAGAGTAATCCTGGGTGATTTTATCCCACTCCACTTCCCTAAATCTGCTGCTATTGCTGCTTTGCATGGGGATTAAAGGGCCAGCGATAGATTACGTAGATGCTGTTGCTGCAGAGCTCCCTCAAGTTTCTTCCATTCCTGCAGGGCACATAAGCTAGATGGGACCCAGTGATCACCTTGGCAGCCATGGGGCAGCTTCTCCCAAGTTTCCCCTCTCAGTAACTCCAGCATATTCTTTGCAAACTTTTATCTGCAGCTGTTGGGTGTGAGGCTGTGCAGTCCCGTTGGAGCTTTTCTCCATTTGGACAGGGACAGTGCGGAGTGACGGCACAGGGTGGCAGCAGCATGCAGGCTTAAGTGTCCCTAGGACTCTGCTCCCCAACCCCACTCCCCAGCAAGACACCATGCTGGGGCCTGTCTGGACAGTGTTGGGACCTCCATAAAGTGGCAAACGTGGCTGGGACTCTCTATGTCTATACAACTGGTCCTGTTGCTGATGGTTTTTGCCTGGAGAATGGTGCCAGGAGCCATCCTGTGGCTTTTCCTCTCACTCAGCTGCCTCCTGCCTTCTGCTAAGTCCCAGGCAAAGATACCACTGGAAACGTAAGTGTTTCCCCCATGCCTGATACCCCTTTACCCACGTACTCCTCTGCCCTCTACCACCCTCTGCCCTTCACTGTCTACTTCCCTCTTCTGCTATTGATGTCCCAGTCCCCATTCTGCCATTCATCGTCCCTTTTCTCTCAGTGTTCCTTTGTCCCCTCCCATAACTAGCGTCAGTCCCTTCCCTTAAGAGGCACCCACCTCCCCACCTTTCAGAGATGTCATTTGTCTGGGGGACGACAGAGCTTTAATTGTACTTTTTGCATGGAATATTTCTTTGACCTGATTTTTGCCCTAGATGCAAAATCTCGCTTCACCATCAGGTCCAAGCCACAGTGGGAATCGTTCCCATGGACCTGGGCTCACAGACAGAAAAGGATTGTTCTTAAAGTGTACAGAATAGGGGGGACTCAGAAGACCTGAGTTAAAATCTCAGCTCTGCCACTGGCCTGCTCAGTGACCATGGGCGAGTCATGTCCCGCCCCTTGCCTCAGTTTCCCCATTGGTAAATTGGGGATAATGATACTGACCCCCTTTGTGTAGTGTTTTGAGATCTGAAAATAAAATGTAGTAGATAAGAGCTAGGTGTTATTATTTATTGTAGTCTCTAGTCAATTTCCTCAGCTCTGTTTGGTGCACCAGAAGGAGCAGGCAAACATGGTATAAAGACAGCATATATTGCCCCTGATCTCTGGGGCAGCTGGAGACCAGTTTGGTTGCTGGGACAAATCTGAGCCACCTCAGAGATGCACTTACTTTATGCGGCTGTGTAACATCCTCCTAGGGCAAGGCTGTAGCACTGGTGCTCTGTGATATGTCTGAAGTACTTGAGTGAAGATGGGTCATTCTGGCCATCTTTATACGTAAGATCCAAATTGTTTTACTGTTCCTAGTACTTCTATATGTTACTGGTACTATCCCCTTACACTGTCTCTGTATAATATTATTCCAAAGGCTTACATAGCAATGACTATTATGCACACATGTGCAATACATGTATGTACTGTACACGCACATACATATTTTAGTGTATGGAGGCATGCCGGTCATATCACCTCTCTGTGTGTCCTTTCCCTATTTGTAAAATGGGGATTATGACTCTAATCTTCCTTTATAAAATCCTGTGAAATCTGCAAATGAAAAGCACATTAGAAGTGCAAAGTCTTCATAGCATTATTGTATTGTGTGTGCCCTGCATTTGGTATGCAGGTTTTCATACATGTATCTGTGCATGGACTTTTTACACAAGGGTTTTAGTATGTGTATACAGCCTTCTGGATGTGTCGTACCTGTGTGCGTGTGTTTGTGCGTGCACTTTGAGGGGAAGGGGAGTGCGTGTGTCTCTCCACAGTCATGGATGGCTAGCCAAGGGCTGACACCATGCTACAAAGTGAGTCCTGCCTTGGTGACAAATCTTTCTTTGGCAGGTTGCCATGATACTAACATCTGAATATATAGAGTTAAAAGTATTGGACCTTGCTAAGCTGCTTTAAGCAACTTAACTACTTTAAGGTTAAAAATATATTGGTGTAGAATTTTTTATGCTACAATTTATTTGAAAGGGAAGAGATTTGGATATTTCTGCCTTACTCGGAGGGCTTGGCTCAGAGAGGAGAGAACACTCCTGACCAGCAGTGATTGTGTTTCAGGATGCTGTTTTGAGGGGAGGAAACCCTGCTTCTCATTCGATGGCTGAAAGAAATGACATTGTGCTGGAGAAACAGTTACATGAACTAAAGTATTGAAAAAAGTTTACGTCTCTTCCTGAGATCAAGAGGAATGTTTTGCATTCAAACAGCTCAAGGCCTCTTTCAAATAGACCCCAAAAGATTCCATCCATGGAATTCTTCATGTATTTACCAAGAAATCCACACATTCATTGCCACTCTTGGGGGCTTAACCCTGGGCATCTCATAACATTTTACCATCGACTTTATTCTGGCTGCTGCACCATGAAATCTTAATAATTGTGGTTATTAAATCACAATAACCAGGTAGCTACTGACATTTCAAGGCTTTCCCCCCAGAGGGACAATTCTGCATATTAACTGGGGTTGTGAGAACCGCCAGTCACAGAACAAGTTTTGATGCAATCTGGTGAATATGAGTTTGGTTCTTTGTTAGATGATTGAGAGAAGAGGACAAAGACAACTACCTCAGATTCGCCAAAATGCACCTGCCCCTCCAGCAGCCCCCAGGCTTTCGTGAAAAATAATTGTCTGTTGGCTGTCTCAGTGCCCTTCTTGGGTCCCCATTTATTTCTGACCCCTATTGACCTACAGGAACCCCCCTTTTACACTGCTCTGATGAGATGTGTCTGTATGCCGCCAGTTGCCTGACCTATGTCTCTCTTACCATTGTGCCTAATGTGTCTTCTCATGCCTCCCCATGGCTCTTCTCTTCTTTCTGGCCTTCCATTTGTCACCCTGTAGTTCCCCATCTCTGTCCCCATGACTCCCCCTTTCTGTCCCCATGCTTCCCCCTAACTCCCTGGCCAGCACTGTCCTTCTCTTTGCCTGCAGGAAGTGTAGGTTCTCCAGTACCCCAAGTGCCACACGTAGCTTTAAGAAACTCAGCAGAGAGGCAGCCAGCAGGGTTAGGGAGGCAGCCAGAGAGCAGTCAATAGAGATGCTGCTGAGCTCTGAACACAGCTGTGCCACAGCTGCCTGCCCATTGCCACCGTCCCAGGATATTGCCTAGGAGTCCTGCAGCAGTATTTCCAATTCCAAGCATTCAGAAATCATGGGATTGGCTTAAAAATCATATAGTTTTTTAAAAATAATAATAATTTCAGCTTCTTTTATTTATTTCCTGGTGATGGAGCTTTTAGGGTTCACATTTTCAAGCTTTTCTTTTGCAACCATGAGGGCTAGAAACTTTCATTTCTTCTCTTTTTAATGAGATTCTCATGCAATCACATGATTCCAGGAGCCCTGGCTTTGAGAAAAAACACCAAATATCACAAGACGTGATAAAATCCAGAGAGATGGTAACACTGCTGCAGTTACCTGGGCTGGCTAGGCAACCTCCCAGAAGCCCTATGTGTAGTTTTCCTATCATCATCATCATCATCATCATATGGGTGGGTAAGCAGCTTTTGTGACTGTTAGTAAATTTTCATACCAACATTAATTGGCTTGTAGAGACAAATTATTAAATGAGCTGCTTCAGGGGGCTATTGAGTTAAATACTGAGATAAGGGTAATCAGATCTCATGCTTTAGGACATCAGCTGATCACCATAAGGGTCTGGAAGGAATTCTTTCCAACTCCCACGCATTGCACAATAGGCCAAGGGTTCGTTTGGTTTTGGCTTTTCTCTGCTCAGAAGCAGGCTAGTGGGCTTGTCAGAAGAAGGGTCTGAGATGGGCCAGGGAATCCTGTCTTCTTAGCAAATTCAAATGTTCGCTATTGTTTTCAGTGTATAAAAAAAGATGACTGTGGCTGACAAAACAGGATGCAGAAACCAGTAAACTGACCATCAAAGCCAGAAATACTGAGTTGCTCCCATTGACCTCAGTGGGAGCAGGATCACACACAGTGGTTAAAAAATGGATGCCTCAGTGCCTGATTTACTATGCCATTGCGCTAGTTTTTTATGGAGGTGGAATGCCATTGATTTTGATTGCATTATACTGCCATTGTGAAGAGAAGAATCAGGCCCTCTGGGTTTAAAGTTTTCTTAGAAGTGGGAGGCATCCCACTGAAAATTATAGGTAACAATCTGTACTCCGTAAGTAACGGGTGTGTTCTGATGAGTGGAGACAGCCATGTGTTCTATAAAGAAGTCGATACCTCCTCAGTGAATCCCTGTAAAAGGAACTGAGTGCAGGTGGAACATCCTAACATGATTCCTGATTAAGTATTCTGACAATTACAGCTGCCAAATATGCTAATTTGAGGAGGAGGCAATATCTTTATGCTCAGCCTGCATGTCACCACTCTTAGGATCTCAGTGTGGTATTCCTACTGTCTATTATTTATAGGATGGCATATATGGGCATGGTACTTGACAGAGAGATAAGATGTGACCCAGAATCTGCTCCCAGTTTACACCTGTGTCAGTCCAGGATACCTTCACTGAAAGCAATTGCATGCCTTGGATTCACACTGGAGTAACTGAGATCACAGCCTGGCTCAGTGTCCCTGTCCCAAAGCGTTCATGGTCTAACTGAATCCTGAGATCCTTACCCTGTTATAATTCAGATTTGACTTGGTCTTTACTCAAGCAAACTCCTGTTAGAGTCAATAGTGACTGAATAAGAACCCCAAAACGTGGCACTGTGTTAAAACAGCCTAATGGTAAGGAAAGACCAGGGTGCAGAGTGGGTCACAGAGATGATGGTTTCCCGCTACTGTTGTGTGTCTCACCAGCAGTTCAAATAGAAAATGTGTTATTACTGTTTCTACAGCGTCCTAGGTGTGCTTGGTGATTTGCGTGCATAGGGAGACAGGGAGTGATACATGCCTGCACGACTGTCGCCCTTTGATGCAGCTCATCTACCTGACGTGTTAACACTGCTGGTTTTCCTCTTTCTCCACTTTAGGGTGAAGTCCTGGGCAGATGCCTTTGGTGGGGAGATATATTCCATCATGACAAAGTATTCAGGCTCTCTCCTCTTACAGAAGGTAGGCCATACCTGCAAGGAGCTTTGCTGGTTTCAGATTTTGTGTCTGTGTGTGTGTATGTGTATGTGTGTGTGTGTGTGTGTGTGTGCGTCCGTCTGTCCATCCTGGGGATTGATTCTAGAAGGGCAACACTAGGAAATCTTCACTAACTTTCAAGACCATTTGGATTCATTTCCCGGTCCCTACCCTCTAACCTTCATTGGTCCAGGTGGACTTTGCACCTCTCTCTGACGCTTTCATTGGCTCATTAGCCACTTTGGACTCAGAATTGTTCTCCTGGCTTTTCATACTGTCCATGGGCACTATTCACCTTTCTCCTCTGACCTCATATCCACCTATTTCCCCTAATGACCATATTCACTCTTCTCCTCCCTTCTTAACTGCATATCCATCTACTCCCCTGCCTGCTCACTCTACTCCAATATTTCCTTCCTCTCCGTTCCCTGGGCTTTCCCAACTGGGGCTCTCTCTTGTTTATTTGTACTTCCTCATCTATCTTCCTCCCGCTGTTCCACTGAGTCCCTTCCGTCTCTTTAAATCTTGCTTTAAAATCTGTTTTTCCTCTGTAGTTTAGGGCTGATTCTCTGAAGGGCATTGTGATGCCAGTTCTGAAAGCCGCTGTATACAACTAGATTGCCTTGGAATAAAGAATGGCTCACCCTAGCCTACCCGTCATACACAGTTCTTTAATCCATGCCCCTGCAAATTCAGCACAGGAATAGCAACTTTCATACCCTCCGCTTCTTGAAATTCCAGCTGCTAGGAACATCCTCATTGGCAGCAGCTGGCAAAAATGGGTCCAGCTCCAGTGACTTCAATGGCGTTTGGCCCATTTGCACCAGCAGAGAATTTGGGCCATCATGTTTGATTTGCTCAGTCCATGAGCTCAGGCAGGGAATGTTGGAACTGGAGAATCACTGCAAAAATCTGCTTCACGTTTTTGCTGGAATTAACCAGTTATGAACCAGCATGTAATTATCTGAAATAATGAGCTTGCTTTGGTCAGGCCAGCTCCTCTTTTGTTTTCCATGAACTTTGGAGCGACTGAGTTCTGATGGCAGAAGGCTAATTTGAAGGGTGCATGGGAAGTTGTATATTTTATATGGAACAGGCCAGTGCAGGAGATAGATGGTGGTGGGGGGGGGTGTTCATTGAAATTGCCAGGGGACAGATTTCTCGTCAGAATCCTGGCAGGGAGGCAGTTCCATGAGCCAGATAAGTAACCAATCACACTCTTCATGAACTCACACACAGTGACTGTGCATGCAGGTAGGGTAGGCTTTAGCATGGAGAGCAGCGAGCACCAGACCTGTCTCTTGATCATTGCCATTCCCTTGGCTCCCATTGCCAAAGAGTTGGAGGAGGGAGATTCTCTGTTCTGATTCAGATCTTCCTTCTGTGAAAACTAGCCTCTTTCCATATGGCCACACTCTCTGCTGGCTGCCAACGATTCATTTGCTTGGATGGCCTCTGTACATAGCACTGTGGGTGGGCCTTTGAAAGTGCTCAGCACTTGCCTGTCCCTGCTCCCAGTGAAGCTAATGGTAAATTGGGGAGCAGGGTTCAGCCAGTGCTGAGCATTGTTGAAAATCACCCCCGAGTGGTTGCATGAGCCTGCTGGTGCAATCAGGTTTCAGAGTAACAGCCGTGTTAGTCTGTATTTGCAAAAAGAAAAGGAGTACTTGTGGCACCTTAGAGACTAACCAATTTATTTGAGCATGAGCTTTCGTGAGCTACATTCTCACATAGCTCACGAAAGCTCATGCTCAAATAAATTGGTTAGTCTCTAAGGTGCCACAAGTACTCCTTTTCTTTCTGGTGCAATCAGTCTCCCTGTGTTCTGCTTCCAGGCACTAGGTGTCCCTGGAGCCCCTAGTGGATGACGGATACGGAGCCTGGTTATCATCCTCTTCACCCAACCTCCCATGGGACTCTGCCCCAGTTACGCCCCAGTAAATAACCCATTTCTGGGAATAGGGAGAAGTGAGAGTAGTTTCTACACCAATTTCTATATTGTAGAAGGGGCTAGTGCTAAGATGCTGTGTCATGACGGCATCTTTTGTGAGAGTGGAAGGTGTTCAGTGCAAACACACCCCGTAACCTGGGACACCATTGCTTTCCCTGCCTGGATGCTGTCCCTGTGCACTATAGACAGCTTGAGGAGGGGGGAGGGGATGATCACGTGCACCTTGCACTCTGCCCTGTGTGCACAGCTGCAAGCACAGTTTTACCAATCAGCCTCTTTTTGGTGCTGCTGGAGAGGACATGGCTCAGTATGAGCACTGCAGAACCCATCTGAGAGGATGGATTCTCTTTCCTCGCACCCACCTTCCATTCTTTCTCCTACTTCCCTGCATCTTCTCTTTGTGCCAAGCCATAAATTGCCCTTCACTTCTTTTACCTGTTTACATTTTGCCCTCTTTCTACTGATTCAGCCACTCCTGTGCTCCAGCTACAAAAGGGACAGAATGTTGTTCCATTCACACTTCCTCACCTTTCTACTGGACCCTCCAGAAACTCCTTCTCCAGTGTGCTCCCTTCCGTCTGATGTAAGAACAGATTCCCTCTGTGCCTCCTTAGCTGTGCTTGTTTGATAAATGTCCTCTGGTCCTTCAGCATGAGTCATCTACACTGATCATGAATTAGTTCTTTTCATGAGGAGCATACATGTGCCACACTGGACTAAGATGCATTCAGACCCTTCATTGCCCAATTCTTACACAGCCATGGTGTGATACCAAAACTGGCTGAAGCCTGGCCTTTAGTAGCAGTGACGATGGTTACACCTTGCCAACTTCTACAGTGTCACCAGCTGATAGAACCAGCTTCTGGCAGGTATCCAAGTTCCCTTTGGACCTAGCTTCTATTTGAATGGCTTCTCTATTTGCTTTCTGCTGGGACCTCCATCTCCTGCAATGTCACAGGGCATTTGCCCCTTGTCACGATCTTCATGGAAAGATGGCAGGTATGAATCTTTCCATAGGGTTCTATAAGCTTCACCATCTCTTTTAAGGACTGTGAGAAAATGCTGCAGTCTTCGTCTCCACTGCTCCATCAAAACAATCAAATACTGCTCTTGTGGCTATTTCTCCTCCGAAGTTAAAGGCTTCCACCTTCCTTAAGGTCAGAAGTCAGAGGGGTTGTTTCTTGACAAACCCAGTGTTATGAGAGGCAGTGTGGACAAGTTACTAGGACACTGCCCTAGGAGCCAGGATAGGTAGGTTCTAGTCCCACCTCAGCCATTGGCCCGCTGGACGACCTTTCACCTCTCTGTGCCTCTATTTCCCCTTTGTCTGTCTCGTCTGTTTAGACTGTAAGCGCTTTAGGAGAGGAGCTGTACAGAACCTAGCACAACAGGGCTCAGAGATGCTGCTCCTAATAGCAGTCACCACATTCAGATGGTCAATAAAAGATTGCACCAAATCCAGCAAAATTTTATGTGTGATTCTCTCAGAGACGAGACGATTGATTTCTGACTGAAAGGCAGTTTGATTCTGACTAGCAAATCAAGCCCAGGATTCATACAGTGGCGGTGGCACCCGTCTTTCCCTGGTAGGCTGATAGAGGAGCACCCCCACACCCACGAATAGCCACATTTCACCGGCCACAGTCAAAGATCATGAGCGGTGCACTGATAAAGAGAAGGAGGTATCTGCCTCTCTCTTGTGCACGATGCAGACCTGCTGCACTGAATGCAGATGGACTGTGCTTTGGTTGAAATGGAATTCTCGATGTCAGAGTGGGACACTGGTTCAGCGGCATCTTAGGGGAAGAATGCTCCTCACTGAGTCACCATTGTCACTTCCTGCAGGACTTGCAGGGCCGGCCCACAACATTTTGGCACCTGAGGCAGGGAGCTCAAATGATGCCCCCATGCCTCCTCGCTTGGGCCAAAACTTTGAAAGGTCTCAATTCTGCCTTCTTCCTGTTCTACTCCTCTCATGGTCCTGCTCTGCTACCTACCCCAATAAAGGAGAACTAACAACTTAAAATGCCTTGTTCAAAAATTTTAAGTAACACTTAACTTTCAAATGCCTTAACAGCAAATGTAACTTTTCTTGTCTGCATAGTAAACAGTGGCATTTTTATCTGTTTGAATAATGAAAGTAGTGCTTTCCATGCCTTCTTGATTGCAAAGATTTGAACTGCTTCCTGCTGAAGGTCCACAGTCTGGGCCAGCTTATGCTCTGTTGAGATGGCTGCAAGGCCGACCAGCCTCTCCTGTGTCATTGTGGAGCGTAGATGTGTTTTTATTAACTTCAGCTTGGAGAAGCTGCGTTCTCCACTGGCAACTGTTACAGGAAGTGGTAGAAGTATGCGCAGAGCAACAAAAGCATTTGGAAAGAGGGTGGTCATCTTATTTGTGTACATATATTCCAGAACACCCTTTGGAGTTGATCCTGCTGAAATGTATCTTGAAAGGGCTTTCAGTTCATCACCTAAATCACTCGCATCAATATCGCGCATGTCATCATGTGTCAACCCTGTCTCTGGTGCCCTGCATTGCTGGTGTAGGTCTTCTTCAGGTATAGTGAGGAGTTTTGGAATATCATACAACATCCCAAATATACTGCTGTGTTCCTTGAGCTGCACGAAACGTTCTTCAACTGACTGTATTGCATAATCTAGCACCTGGTTAAAGAATTCAACTTTGAATTGTTGTTTGGGGTCTCTTATGGGATTATCCCGTGCCTCGTAATCAAAATATCTCCTTCTTTGGTGACTCTTGTATTCTTGAATGGGTGGGAAAATAGCTTCAGTGTGAAGCTCCTCTGCCAATTTCTGTGCACTCTTCAGAATGTTTTGAATTCCCTCATCTGACCAGTCAGACTGTAGGTGTGACTTTGCTTTGTCCAGTTGTTCCATGGCCCCAGATATATCAAGGTCAACACCTTGGAGTCTCTTGCTTACAACATTTATTTCAAACAATATGTCATGCCACAACACTAAGCCACACAGAAATTTGAAGTTATGTATGTTTCTTGTGATTTCATTTCCCT